AACTTTTTAATCTACTATTGTAAAACAAAAGGCAAAATCACAGAGGGTCAGTACCTGTGAGGGTGTTTCCTCCTTTGTAGGGCAGGTTCCTGACAGCATCAACGACTACATCTTTAGTTGAGAAAGCATTTAAATGCCACTCAATCCTGGGATCGCCACTGTACTGCGCGAGACCTGATAAATGAACAACATGACACAATTACACACAGCTTGTCATTTCCCAGTAATATTCACTCAAACTTGAACTAATTCGATAGATGAAAACAACTTAATTCATGGCAAAAACAGCCATATTGGTCCCATGGTGAACCCATCTGTTCAAGAAGGAAAGAAGCCAGGACTCACCTATCCTTGTTTTATCAATGCCAACATCAAAGGCATTGACCAGGTTTTCCAAGAACATACGGACCAGCCTGAAGTTTAGTCGGCCAATACTCCAGGAGCCGTCCACCAGGATCACAATATCCGCAATAGCCTCAGTGTGACACACAAACTGGTCAACTGAAAAAAAGGAGGAAGGGAGAAAGACTAGTAATTAAAGAAAACGATAATACCAATAAATCCACATTATTTTTATTTTCAATGTGCAATGTGTGTCCAATGGTTTTTTTTATGTTTTTTATGTTGCATTCTGACCCTATCTGCATGTCACTTGAGGCTCATCAGACCAGGGAACATTTTTCAGTCTTCTATTGTCCAGATTTGGTTAACTTGTGTTAATCTCGGCCTCAGTTTCTTGTTCTTAGCTGACAGAACTGCTACGCAGAGTCTGAATGCCACTCTGCGTACCAGCCCATTTTCTTCAAGGTTCAACATGATGTGCAGTTAGAGATGCTCTTCTGCATCTCTAAATGCACATCATGTTTGTTGTAATGAAAGGTTATTTGCTGTTGGCTTCCTATCAGCTCAAAGGAGTCTTTCCATCCTCATCTGACCTCTGACATCAGCAAGGCATTTTTGTTGAGAGAACTCCCACTCCCACTCCACAGTGGATATTTTCTCTTATCAGACCATTCTCTGTAAAACCTAGAGGGGGTTTTGTGGGAAAATCCCAGCAGATCAGCAGTTTCTGAAATACTCAGACCAACATGTCTGCCACCAACAACCACGCAATGTTCAAAAGTCATTCATATCACCTTCATCCCCATTCTGATGCTCATCTTGAACATCAGACGATCATCTATACCATCTCAAACATACAGTTAAACAGGTGTACCTAACAAAGTCGCAAATGAATGTAAATTGCTCCCTCACGCATCCATCAGTGTGGTAGGAAAAGCACTTAAGTGCAAATGAAGACTTGCAGAGTAAAAGCGCTTCCAGTGGTTTAAAAGACTGAAAAAGCAGCATGATAAAACTAGCAGCCCATTTCCATCACTTCAGACTTACATAAACTTACTGGAGACCTACCACAAGTGTTTCTTTCCAAACAAATCCTTACAATACAGGGACAGTATGACTGCAATATAAGCACAGCACATAAATCAGTTCATTCATTGTAATTTATAACTGCTCATCCACCTTTCTTTGGTATCCTGAAAAGAAATATATCTACTTAAATTTGTAACATAAACCACTTTCCTGTCTACAGGAAAGTAATCGCTATTAATCTATGACATGCTCATAATGTCGGACCTTTGTGTCTCATTGAAGAAAATGCCATAAAGCAAAGAGCTGACAGTAGGAAATGTGGATTTATTTGTGTTTTGACTAAAAATTCAGCTCCTGCCAACTTTAACAAAGCCATTTGGAACTAAGCACAACAGGGTCTTTGTTTTAACATGTTAATTAGCACAGGCGTGTGCTAAATTGCTTGAAAATAAAGAACAAATATAAAACATGCTGGCACGTATTTATTCAAACAGCGGCAGTGATGCATAAATGCTATAAACACAGCAAAACATGCTTTGTAACATTTACACTTACCTCACCATCTGTGCTTTCCGTGTTATCGATTCAAGCCAACACTTTCTCAAGATAAAAATTAATAAATAAGCTACATCGTCTATTGATAAACCACACAGGTATTTATTTCAAGAAGCAATTTTCCAGACGGAGCCTTCTGTCTGCTGTCTGTGTGCGTCTGACTGTTTGAACCATCCATCTGCTACAGGCGGCCGACAAACGAGAGAAGGGAAAACAACAAGGTCGGGAGATAGCTGATGACAATCTGTGGCTTGCAAATGCATAACATAAAAAAAAGGTGCCTGTGAAATGCACAAAGGTCATTGTTTTGACAAGGGAAAAAGAGTGTGATTTTATATCAGAGTTGAATAATACCCCTTGTTTTAAGGAGAGGAAAAGAAGAAGGCTTTGTTCGGGACTTTCGGCAAAATGGCAAAAGGTTGTAAGGCCAAAGATCATATCGATAACTTTGTGGAGGTTACTCTATTACAAAACAAGCAAACGTGGCCTTTAAAGAGACTCTAGCGTTAAAGATTTTATAGGAACAACCATAAATAAGCACCAAAACAGGACATATACAGTAGATCAAATCAATTGAGCAGCTACTCTTTGACATAAAATTATAGATATTCATTTTTTATTATCTATAGTAACTAAATAGAATGGCAAGGAAAAGGTTAATGGTTAAGAAAGAAAGAAACCAAGGGTGGGGGGTTGTTAAATGTGAAAAGCCAGCAGGAGGTGGTAAACAGAGGATTAGAGGGTCAGTAATTACAGCTAAGTACAGCTCGCTGGTCATTCCTGAGTCTATTGTCAGGGTGGTGAGAGCGTTAATTAGGCATAATACTGGTGTTTTACATCGGACCCAGCAATCAAGGGTGCTGCCGTCCTTCACATTACTGTCAGCAGTCTGTTGAGTTGACCATAATGTTTATTTAATTGTTAGGGCAGGTTATTTTGTCACCATTTAGGTTACTTAATATTATACATTTATTTAAATTTTCACATAACCAATTTTTTATTTCGATTTTATTTGAACCACAGTCGGCCTACACTGAACTATGAGCTAGATGCCAAAGCTGCCTTTCACTTCCTAGAGCAAGCAACAGTAATCAAATACTGACAGACACTAAGGGAAATTATGCATCTCACTTATTCACTGGTTAGGGCTGCTACTAATTTCACATTAACCATGTAGGGTGGCACGGTGGTGTTAGCACTCACAGCAAGAAGGTCCTGAGTTCAATTCCACCATCAGGCCCAGGCTCTCACCGTGTTCGTGTGGGTTCTCTCCGGGTTCTCCGGCTTACCCCCACATTTCAAAGACATGCAGTTAGTGGGGTTAGGTAACTGGTGACTCTAAATTGCACATAGGTGCTCAAATGGCTTTTAATTGTTTTTTTTGGCAGAAATAGCCCTGTAGATAAATTTGATCCCATGTGTAGTCTTTCCCCACAAGCTGCAAAACTGTGACATCACAAAAATGTGATAGTCTCTGTGGCAACATTGATTACGATGTTGGAGGATTATCAGCAACACAGCATTATCAGATTGAGAGGCTCATGGACATGATAACGTAGTTCTCCTAGCAAAAAAAGCACTCC